TAAAAGGGATGTAACCCTTAGATTTTTGGCCCTATGCCTTAAGAACCCTAGTGGAGCCGATTTCTAAGTGTATTCCCTCCTCTCTCCTCTCATCCTCTTGCTAGTGATGTTTGTGAGCCATTAGATGTGCATCATTTGAGGTACTAAGCTTTCAAGAGTCAAGGATCTTCAATGTGTTCTTGTTATTGCTACATAACAAGTGAGGTAAACTTCTAAACCCTAATTATATGTAATTTTCGAATTATATATGCTATATCTAGGGTTTTTGCTTTGGTATTCAATTTGCATGTTCAACTAGTGAAAAACTTAGATCCAAAGCAATTAGGGTTGCATGATCACATAGGTTATAGTTATGCTCATAAGCCATCACTATTCTACATTCCTTTAGATAGTCGTTGAACTCGATACTAAGATACTCTCCGCCTCTATCGGATCTTAGCATCTTTATCTTCCTGCCCAATTAATTCTCGACTTCTTGTTTAAACTCTTTAAACTTTTCAAAGGTTTCTGACTTATGCTTGAGTAAGTATATATACTCATATATGCTATAATCATCAGTGAAAGTCACATAGAATCGATTTGTATCCCTTATGGATGATCTAAAGAGTCCACACACATCTGTGTGTATGAGATCCAACAAACCTTCACCTCTTTCACAACATCCAGTGAAAGGTGATTTTTTTCATCTTTCCCAATAGATAAGATTCACATGTATCATCTGACCTTAGGTAAAATGATTCCAATACTCCATCCTTTTGGATTTTGGCGATTTGTTTCTTGTTAATGTGTCCAAGACGACAATGCCATAAGAACGCTTTGCCTAAACTATCAACACACGTCACAGTTTCATATACACCATCACAAGGTAAAGCTTCAAATATATAAACACCATTTTTATAAGCAGAAATAGAACCACTCAAATCATTAAATGAATATCTAAACCCTTTTCTGAAGAATGCATGAAAATAGATAATGTTTCTTATCATTTCTGATGAGTAGCAACAATTTATTAAATCTTAACCAACACCATTACTAAGCACTAGACTATAAACTCCAATCATGGTAACATGATAAGATCGCCTATTCCCCATGATCAAGTTCATTCTATTGTGCTCCACCTCCCCACTTCTTCTTATCCCCTGCAAATCAGAACAAAATCCACATCATGTATCAATATTAAATGAAATAGTGTATATACCTGCAGAAGTTTGCTTCACTTTTTCATCTTTGATATCTTGCATATACTTTGGGCAGCTTCTTTTCCAATGCCCCTTGTCGTTGAAGTAAAAGAAAATAGCCTCTTTGGGATTAGAAGAGGGTGGGTTATCAGAACTAAACTTTCCTTTAGGGTCACTACTGGATGACCCTACATGAGACTTTCCCTTCCAGTCTTGCTTGGGAGGACCTTTCCTCTTTTTACCCTTTCCCTATCCAATAGCTAGGACGGGAGCACTAGCAAGAGTGGAGGCTAAACCTTTTCCCTTCATTTCCGCTTCATCTCTCTGCGGAAGGTTGTGAAATTGAGCCAATGTGGTCTCAGTGTTGTTCAGATGATAGGTCAGGTTGAACTGATCATAACAACTAGGTAAGGAGTTTAGGACTATATCCATAGCCAACTCCTTATCAAAATGCACATTTAGCCTAACAAGGCACTCCACATAACGTTGCATTCTTTGCACGTGGCTACAGATAGATTCTCCCTCCTTCATCTTACACGTCATGAGAGACTTGACCACTTCGTACTTTTCTTGATGAGCTTGCTTATGGTATTTTTCCATAAGGTCCTTGCTCATCTCGTAGGCCAGTAGTCCTCATAAAACTTCTATAGCTCAGGGGTCATGATGGCTACCATGATGCAAGCAACTTTTTTTTTGCATCATCGTAGTGCTTTTGGTAGGAGACGTATTCTCCAGGAGTAGCTTTTCCTTCTTTGACTTCAATGAGTTCCTTTTCGAGAAAATACTCTTTGTTCTCAAATCGAAGGGCCATCTTTATATTTCGCATCCAATCATTATAACTAGAACTATCAAATATGACTTTGGAGCATATAGAGGGAAAGGAGAAGTTATGGTGGTTGGAGGAGGAGGAAGCATAAGCATCAGTTAGAGTAGACATTTATAAAAGGAAGGTAGTTTTAGTTAGATAAGAATAATCCTTAATATACTAACCCAAAATAAAATATTAAGGCTAGGATCCAACTATATGATTCACAAATTAGAAAACGGATGTCGTAATCAAATTGTAATTTTATAAAGGTAGGTAAATGACGATTTACCAATTTCACCAATAGGAAACAAAATTAGGTTAAGTAAAATTCATAGGTCTTTTGAGATTCATTGAAACTGTTTAATGGCATGTTTAATCTCAGATTATGCTATTCTATTTGTGACTGGGATACCGTGGATCACAAATAAGATGTGAATAACCATGCAAATGTTCTTGGTAACCTCATTGTCATTTATCATCCCAATTGGTGTGCTAGTAAACCACACATGCTCCATCAATAATGATAATTTATGAGATACCTATTACAACTCTTTATTAGTACATATTAGTGTGTTGGTTAACCACACAAGCTCCACTAACGACTTATAAAGTGTAATGTGCAATTTGATAGGTTAGCATACTAATTCACATTTTTCCTAAAGTAACTAGATTTGGGATTTAAAAAAAGGTTCTAGTACTTTTTAATATCATTATACTTTTAATGAGAATTAATGTCCTATCAAGTCCGTTCTGCTAACGACCCTCCACCAATCAAGGAAGCGGTGGGTGAGAGTGCACACACATTTAATTGTCATTTTATAGGCAGTTTCCTTATACTCCCTTATAGACCGACTTCGTGAATGAGGCATACTAGCGACTTGACTGACTTAGTCTTATACATATAATATATTAACAATTATTAATAATATATAAGGTGTATTTTAAACAAAATACCAGGTTTATTCTATTTAAACTTCGAAATTAATAAAACATTAATTTAAATTCAAAAATAAACCAAATGATTTAATATTTATCTATTAATTAAAAATTAATTAAATATATTAAATCAATTAAGGATTAACTAATTAAATTAATCAAATAATTTAATCATAATCCTTACCCTCTAAATTTTAGAAAATTATGGGTATAAGATTTATCCAATTTTATAATTATCCCTTTTAATCAAATTAAACTAACAATTATCAAAAATAGAAAACCCTAACCATATAACAATTTTTGAAAACTTGGGGAGGAAGGTTAGTGTTTCAAAACCCTAACCCTAATTTCGAAATCCTAGAGGATGGGCTCGGGTTTCGAAAATCCCTAACCCTAGTCGAAATTCTAAGCCTTTTAGGGTTTAATTTCTATAAACCCTAATTGATCAAATTAAACAATTATAGCAATTCAATAGAAAACAAACCAAACGCTCTGATACCACTGATGAGATTTAGGTAAAACAAATAAACTTAAAATCCTTAAGTTCACATGCAACCTAAAAGGACCTATGTTTTCACTATTGAACCTATAACTATGAACATCAAATAAGAAACCCTAAGAACCCTAGTCGATTTTCGAAAACAAAAATCAGGGTTTAGGATGCATACCTTAATTGTTATTGTAGTAAATAACAACGATCCCTTCTTGTAGATATCTTGGAAGCAAACACCACAACTATCGTGTCTCTAATAGAATCACACCCAAAATAGCAACAAGATGACTTAAGAGAGAGGAGATGGGAGGCTTGAAATTTCGGCTATCTCTCTATAGAATGGAGTGGCCAAAAAATGAAGGTTGCGGGGTCCTTTATATAGTGGTACAAGGATGCCCCGGATAGCCCTAATTGAAATATAATAATAATATTTCAAATCGGTAATTATCCAACTCCTTATTTATCCACATGAGATATTCTAGAAACCCTAGAATATCCTCCTAAACCCGTCCACCACCTTTGTGGAAGGTTTTGGAGCCTGATGTTCAACTATTGAACAATTGCACTCTAGACCCCACACTTTTAATTAATTCAATTAATCCCAAAATTAAACCTAATTAATTTCTGATTAATTATTAATTAAATAATATTATTTCTAATTAATACATTATTCTCATAATATATTAATAAGCTATTTATTTCAATTTATTAATCTCATAATAAACTAATCTCTCTCTCTCTCTCTCTCTCTCTCTCTCTCTCTCTCTCTCTCTCTCTCTCTCTCTTTCTCTCTCCAAAAGTCATCATGTCCAATTGCTAGGTTTGAAGGCAAACCCAAAAAGACTGTGCTAATATCAATTCAAATATATACAAATTATAGTTATTGGCTTAGACACCTAATCCAACAATTAAAGACCTGATTTTTAGTAGTGATAGAATCGTGTGATGGTTCTTTATCCTATAAATCTAATAAAATATCTATCTAAGGTCGTATCCAATGGATTGAAGTCAAATGAGATCAATGGATTGTCACATTTACATTCCACTCACTATACAATTTTACCTGTTAAAGTCTACATTTCATTAAACTCAATATAATTTAATGAATTTTCACATCATTTATGTGTGTGTGAGGAGAGAGAGTGTGTGTGTAGAGTTCACTGATCATTAACCGACAATGGAGATTTTGAATTTAATAGGATTAAACTCCTCATTAAACTACCACCGAAATGGTCTAACTTCTGTGTGGATTATCATGTACGAACCACTGAACCACATAAATCCGTGTGTTCTCACTTTTCTTTTTATCCTTATTGTGTGTTTATCACGTTATCCTAATATTTAATTTGTTGCTAATGATCCATTTTGCATGTCGGAATGCGTCGGGTGGCTAATTTGTTTATGCCAAGATTTTCTAGCAGTCGAACAAGCAAAAGATGTTGAGTGCACTCCATTTACTCGTAGAAAAAGGACACAATGAAGTTATTAATATTCGTACATAAAAGTCGCAACCATGCAATGGAATGCAAGGTCTACGAATTATTTAAATATATACCTTATTGTGTAGATAAGATTACATGGTTGTTTAAACAATAGGAACCAACTCCACCTTGATTTCGTCAATGGTGAGATCTTCGGCCCCTACCTTTGGCACCAATGTCACCAAAATATACTCATCATCCTCGGCTCCGATGTCCTCCAAAAGCTCTGTTAAACCGAACCTTGCTGCACTTGTCATTAACTTTTTGTGGCCGCCATGGTGATGAGGCAACTGTGCGAAACTACCTGCAAACTCGCTCTCGGATGCAGAGCTTGCGGGAACATCATCTTGGTCATTAACAAACACATCAAACTTGACGAACTTGGAGACATTAAACTTGATTCCTTTGATCAACAACTGCTCAGTCGCTTTTTCCTTTTCTGATTGGCTTCGGTTTTTTGCTGGCCGCTTCACAAGGACCTTCTGTATCTTGTCTAGCTTAATGGGGAACTTCACGTCCGGCACTGTAACCTTTTCAACAGGTTTCGTGGTGGTGTCTGGTTTGGTATGTGCAACCGGTCTGTTCTTCAGCCACGGGAGTGGAGATAATTCGAAATCATATTTTAAGTTTTCAATTTGGACACAATCTTTGTTGTAAACACGTACAAGCTCTTCGTTTTCATCATAAAACACGTATGATGCATTAAGCCAATCAGGGTCTGTAGGTTCATTGTGTCCTTTGATGCCTAAATCCTTCCATACTTTCCACATACGGTCAACATTTGCATGGTGGACGTAGAACGCAGGATCGTACCCCGCAGAGTAGAAGTTCCCCATGTCCTCGTTGTTTGGCATTCTTGGATTACCTGTCCATCTGTGCATCGCAGTGTGACAACCAGCCTCTATTGATCCGACAGATGGGTCACTATTTCCAAAGGGGTCATCTCCAGCCCGAAACTCGCCACCAAAGAAACTTAACGGGTCAGTAGCGTTGCTGACCATCTGCTTATACATTGCAGCAAGATTGGTGCTTATCTGTTGAAGACAAGGAGCGCCACTATCTGATCCATTGTAGTCGAGATCGACAACTACTTCTGGTGATACATGGTTGACGTTGCGGAACGCGTCAAAGACAGGGTTTCTCTTGCCGTCGGTTTCAAAAAATGCTGGAAATGACATTCCGGCGGGATTGTCCCAGTTCCAGTAAGGTAAAGCGAAAGTGGGATCATCAATTAACTTCCCGAGGATTCTCTCGTAGAAATACAAGTACCAACGATGGAAAGGAAAGAAGAGCCATGAGTTGTGAATCTGGAGTTGCTTATCAGCATAACCACTCGCGACTTGAGTATAACCACCGTTGCAATAAGCGCAATGAATTTTAGCTTGTTGAACGAAACTATGTGGGTGTTCATCTGGGAGATCTCTCATCGCTTGGATTGCTGCTTTGTACTTTGCCACGTACTCGGGGGTGGCTCTATGTGCCGCTGGTCTAACCCGGATTGCGTTGTCTTTAGGGAACACAAAGTCTTTCGGGGTTGTGGTCATCATCGGCGGACAACATTGGTTGCTTCTTACGGAGTCCTGCACGTTGAAGCCTTGCTCTGACGGGATGCATGTGGAGATGTCAGGCGTGGTGATAGGGGCGGCAATGGCCGCCGGAAGAGAGCTGAAGTTGACGGTGCTGTAAAGGCCACCGAGTCCCAGTAGCAAGTTCCTCCGATCTACATTAAGCGTGTCGAGAGATGGTTTTGGCAGTATAAGGTTTTTGCTATCTGGGACTAAGAGTAGCTTCTCATTGCCATCTGGTGCGACGTTGCATGAGACTTTGAAGCGGTGGTTTTTTTGGGGGTGAGTCTTGAAACAGCGGCTGGAGGTGGAATCTGGCAGTTTTCTTGTGGTGTTGGTGAAGGTGTTAACAAGTTGGAAAGAAGCCATTGTTATCTGTTTTGGGTTACTCCACTCACTTCTTCGATCTACAGGCACGTTTTATAGTGTTTTTATTAATTACCTTTTTAAATTTTTATTCTTTTTTGTTAAATTTCCCAATGAAACAATTGCTGGTTGTATTGAAAATTAGATCAAATTTATTTGAAAACTATAATTAAATAAAAGATGAATTTCCAGAAATACACTAAAAACATGTCTAGATATATTTAAAACGTGGAAAACTTATTATTTTGCGAATCGTTTGACTAACATGTCTATGGATATCTCAAAAACAAGATATATTTTACTTTTTTCTTTTTAAAGTATGTTCCCTTTACAGCTTGATTTGGAAATATATATCAACACTAATTTATTTGTTTTTTTTTTTGTTTCACCGGTAACCTTGGTAGCTGATTGGCTAAGAGTATAGATAAGGAAAAAAGATAAAGGGCTTGGGAGTGTGCTCAAAGGAAGCTGGTGGATTGGAAAGTATCAGAGAGGTTTGCTGAAAGGACATTATACATAAATAATTTAGTCACGTATTTTGGTTAATTATACGAATAAAAGAGATAATTCGCTCATTCACTATATTTTTTGTTTTACTCTCTCTCAAAAAGTTTTATGTAGCTTGAGAGTGTTTCAATGTTTTAGGGTTATTTGAGTTCATCACCTTGCAGATTCAAAGAGATTCTATGCTTAAAAGTTGTTCAGTTGATTCGTATAATGATAATCTTTTGTATATATTTGTAATTATACGAAATATTTAATGGAAATATTGTTGGTTTCAATCATAATATGTACGAAGACCTAAAGGTTTGTGATTTTTCAAATTCTCAATAAGTTGAAGAAAAAGCTAAGTGTTTTTCCGGTCTAGCATAAGGAAGAATATTATTAGATTTACGCTAGACAAGGAAAATTCGGTCGATAATTATTAGTACTAGTTAGGGCATCACAATGCATTGAACTCTATAGAGTTCAATGAATTGTCACATCATTTTGTACAATCCATACAACTCTATCATTTTCTTCCTACAATACATTAAATTCTATAAAGTTCAATAGAATATTGAAAAATGTAATTTATAGTATAAATTAAAGAATTAAAAACTTTTCTTTTTTCATTGAAGAGTTCAATAACCATTAAACTTTAAATCCATTGAATGTCAAGATGGCATCTCCTAATGGTATTGTTTCATCCATTGAATGACACCTACACTTGCCATCACATTCAACTCTCCTATTGAAATTACCATTGTGGATGTTTTTATGGTAGTTATGGGTTAGGACAGTTACTAACTTCGGTTGTTGCCTTTGAAACGGTGATGGTGTCTTCAAGAGTTGAATGGGTTTTCTCAAAGGACAGTCTATTATATATATATATATATATATATATATATATATATATATATATATATATATATATATATATATATATATATATTGTGTGATTATGTGACTAACTCTTGACCAATCTTTTAATAAATGTATTAGTTACATAAACATGGAAAATTAATTAATTCCTTATTGATTTCCCTATTCTCTTGTATATGTTGGATATTTTGATAACCAAAACATAAACGCGGAAGCATAAACTTTGGATATTTAATCTCGAATCTGGTTAAAAAAAACTTGAACAAAATGAAGGATTCATACATGATTTCATTATGATCTTCGGATATGAAGAATTAGGGTTGGGTTTTCCAGTTGATCTCAAGATCTCTCTTTAAAATCCCTCAGCAAACCCTAAACGAATTTACATGTGTATTTTCATATGTGTTGATTTGCTCCTCATCACATATATTTATAGATGGATATAAACCCTAATGTGAGAGATGGAAGGGATCTTGAGGATCTTGAGTCAAATCGGCAACTCAACCCACAAGGTAAGTAAATATTTTATAAATCGGTCCATCAGTAATTTATATTTTTACCATAATAACTGCATTTAATAATAACATTACATATATATATATATATATATATATATATATATATATATATATATATATATATATATATATATATATATATGATGTTATCCCATAATTATCTAACAATCTCCCACTCGACCACAAATATATAAATGTACGTATAATTGTATAAGTGCTTTAATGAATATTATCATAATATTGGTGCCCTTAAACAATCTCGACCACTAATCATAATAGTATAGGATCAAAGCAGTCTTCATTACAATTTACGTAACTAAACCTATCAATGGTCACATATACATATATAACTAACGACATATATTAAATATGATGTGTGGTTCTAAAATCTAAATAGATTTCCAACGAGTTCCTCTTTAACTTAAAGTGAGATCAAACTTCAAATAAGTGCAACTAATAATGGAATTAACCGAATTCTTAATTTTGTACAGAAAAACATAATTGTTCTTAAACAAACAATAAAACTCCCACTAAAACCAAATATCACACCAACGTGTGCCGTATGCTCATGAAAGACCAAGGGATGTAATCTCTTTATTAACGGATCCGCTTTCATGGAGTTTTTTCATATGTGCTATATGTATTTCCAGTTTGCACTATTGTATTAACATAAGGAAACTTGATGTCAATATGCTTTGACTTAATAGAACTTCTGTTATTGGAATATAACATTGTTGACTTATTATCACAACTTTAATGGTCTTTCAATACCAATAATGTGTAGCCTTGTAACAAATTTTTGCAACCATATTCCATGATACAAATTATTCTGCCATTATGGAAGAAACTACCGAAGTCTATTCCATGAAATGGTTCATCATGCTAAAATGTAAAAGCACTACTACAAAACGTCACATAGAACTCGCCATATAAGACCCGGTATATGAAAAAAACGGGACATATTATGGAAAAACGGGTTTTATAAAGGGGGGAGTTATATGACCCGGTTTAAGGTATGGAACCGGGATATTTGACTGAACTAAACAACCCGGTTTCTAATGATACAACCAGAACTTTTAGTTGTAAAATCATATGACCCGTTTTGTAAATAAAATTGTGTTCTATGGCTATGGGGCGTAATGGCATATCATATTTTGATATCCCGCCACCAAGTTTTGATATCCCGCCTATCAATTTTTAATATTTTGATATCCCTCCATTTGAGTCGGTATACCAGTTTAAAGCTTTTCTTTGCGACCACTACTACTGAAGCTTAGAAAGTTAGGAACCACCAAACCCCAATACTCTTAAACAATGTGAATTCGAAGCTTTATCTCCGCTATTTACACTAGAGCCACACCAATCGATTTCCCCAATATAGAGATCAACACTATTGAGGTATAATTTCGTCTGAAACTCATTCTTTATGCATATAAATTTTTGGAATCTATTTAGATGACCTGAGTCATCGATCCTCTGTTTTGATTTAATATAGGATCCGGACGAGTTCAAGACAATCCTAAAACCATGTCTGAAATTAACTTTGCAAAATGATAAGAAGCAATGTTTCATTGTGTTTGTGTCTAAATCTACACCCAATCATGAGCCAGCATACGAGATGGCACACAAAGTTTATGAAAAGCTTGAAGTTGATTTCAACTCAAGAACAAGGGAAAGGTAAAGTTGCATCCACTAATTAATCTATCACGGATTTCACTTTTTTAACATTGTATACTTCCATGAATTCAATTCATGGCTATTGGTTCACTAGGTGCTGCAAATTTGATCTACATGGACCCAAATCAACTTTTTTGGGAGACTTAGAAGTCAAAATCATGGAGTGCCTAAGAAACAACCTTGATAGACATATCTAGTAGTTCTACAAGGATAAGATTGGCACACTCAATGACCAACCTTTTATGCCTGTTTGGAGTTTATATATATTTTTTTCAATCTAAAGGTACATCCATAAATCTCTTTAGTTAATGTGATAACAAAATATTTTTATTATGAATTATAAAATAATTAGATCTATTTACATGAGAACCTGGCATTTATGTTTGAAATGCCTCGTCTTAATGAGGAATCACTGCAAGAATATCATGAATTAGAGGTTTGTTATATGGAAATAGGTGCTTTATATAGATGTTATATATTCTATGACTTTTTGCCACCTATAAAACTTTTTTATTCTCTTGTACCCAATACAGTCAACAATGCAGGAAAACAAAAGGTGTGTGGTGGAATTGACCATGGTGAATTAGATATGATTAACCTGCAATCCTAAACCCTAACAACAAACAACTGTTACAAATTGTTGAAGATGATCCCTTCAGGGAGTTTGAATTTCGACGATACCTTTTTGCATCTCAGGCTAAGGTTATTTAAATAATCTATGATATGTTAGGTTGTTAATAAGTTAATGTGGATTTATTGAATGTTTATTTTCTTTTCATGACTAAAATGTCCATTTTAGGTTGCATAAAGGCGGTTTTCATTCATAGTTAGCTTCTCGAAAACATTGGCTCTACCAGAGGTAGGCGAGGATTCATATCATGATTTTTTTAACTAATCTGTAATTTCTTATTAATTGTTAATGGCTATTCTCCCGAGTGTTTTTCCCTTCTGTATGAGAGAAGTTTATCCATGAAATCAATTGGCAATGAGATTGAGAAGGCAACATCATGCATTTAGCCATTACATAAAGTTTTCATCAATAAACTTATGATTTGAATTCACATAGAGTCTGATCTTTGGCAAATTGATGGAGATTAGCTACTTTGTTGGGTTTTTTTTTACCTTTAATACATTTTGGCAAATTTAGTAAGATCATGTTCTAAATGAATATTGTAGGAGAAGTTATTTTTGATAGGTAAATGTATTAGATGTTTTTTTTGGAATAGGTAAATGTATTGGATTATTATTATTATACATTTATATTTTGGATTCAGATTATTAAAGATGTATTGTTTTTTTTATGTTTTTATTTTTACTTTGAGGAGAAAAAAAAAGAAGGATTTTTTATAATCTATTGTATTTAAAAAAAATCAAATTACTGATGGATTTGGGATGTAAATTCTGTCAGTAGAAGGTATTAAGTTTATAGATTTAGAAATAAAT